TATATATATAATTTGAATCAACACAATAAACAATAATTACTGCATCGTTAAAATATTCTTTGAAGAATGATGCTAAAAGTATTAAAAAATTATAATATAGTATAGTGTAGAGTAGTCCCTCCCTCTCGACATACCTCTTTGTTTTACGCTTAGGGGGTGACCAAGTTGATACAGTCGCTTTTTATATTTAAATTTCATCCGACTCCGACTGTATATGTAGTCTTTTTTATTTATTTATTTATTTATTTATTTATTTATTTATATTTATGGGAATTGTATATTTTTCTCCACAGGTCATGCAGACATACAAAAAAACATTTTATCCTACTATTAAATACATAAATATTAACTTTTATCATATTTATGAATGTTTTGAAATAATAATTTCATTTCACATTTATGGATCTGTAGAAAAAACAAATCTAATTTATACGTGTACGAAAAGATATTACATATATATCCATTTCTTCATATTTTTATATGTGAAGATTTATTTAGTTATGATGTCAAATTTCTCCAGAAAAATACAAATCGTGTAACATTGTAAATTATGACACTATATGTGTATATATAAATTGATTGAATACCGTTTTGACATATGATCGGCCCGACATAGGACCATACGGCAAAGAGCATATGATTTTTTGCTAAAAATACACACATTAACACACAGAAAGACACACATACGCATACATACTTGCAAAAGGACACACATACATCATGTATAAACATAAATAACATAAACATTTACATATATATATTTACATATATGATATAATATATATCATGCACATACACATACACATACATTGTTTTATGACATGAAATTCAGAAGAGAATATATTTCAAATAACTACATTGGCACTGAAAATGATGAGCATGCATGGAATTTCATGCATAAGTGGAATAACAACAAGTAGAATATAATCCCCAAAAGTATTATAACACCAATTATCAATGTACAAAGAGCATAGTACAACAATATCATGCAAGATACATAGATTCTTCAAATTTACGAAATGATTGTTAACCATGTACTTGGTGATTTTAATTATAAAAAATTAATAAAAATCACCGTTTACACCAATATTGTAGTTTTGTATAAGAAGGAATGCTATTAATTAATTAGAATTGTTACAGAAAATTAGAAAAATAAATAAGATAAAAGCTTAGTTAATCAGAAGGACAAATCCATGAATCCTCGTTACCTGGAAGTTGATCACCATCACTTCTTGATGAAACGACAACGTTCTGAGAATTACCCCTTTCCCCCTCAAGATTCATCAAAGTTTCATCTTGACCCCTCCATCTTTTCAATGACGTCGAAGATGAACTTGCAAACGCATTTGGTGGTTCCGATCGATGATTCTCACCTTCTATTACACTGCTTTGCTGAGGAAGCCTTGTTTGTGAAAGAGATTGAAATTGAAACATCTGCCTTTGCAAATTTGATAAATTCAGGGGCTGTTTTGTAAACAGGTGACTTTCAGCAGGGGGTAATTGGAAATTACTCGTCGTTGCAGTTGTGGAATTCAAATATGTAGGCTGTTGTTGTAGCTGAATTTTCTGCGCCGACGGCCGTATAGGATTCAGCGGCGCAAGTCCACCACCGTAAAGATCGATCCGGCGAGAAAAAGGAGACGACGACGAGGAGGTGGAGAAAGGGGCGGCGGGGATACCGGTGAATTCTTGAACCATTTGTCGGAAATTAGTGGTGTCGGTGGTGAGTACGGTGGTGGGCGCTCGCCGGGAAGCTCGTGTACGCTTCTTGGGGTTCTTCGTTGTTACATGACCTACTTTTTCAGTTTCAGTATCCGGGTTTATATTATCATCCACCGGTGTCGGATTAAGATAGGGATCTTGCTGAGAATCAAGATTATACATCGAATTCTGGTTTCTGGACCAGAGAGAATCAAGATTGTACATCGGATTAGTGTTTGGGTTTAAGGGTTGTGAAAACGAAGACGGATCAAAGAAGGTGGACGGTGGTTGTGGTTGGTGGTGCGACGACGACGATGATGATGGCGGTGGTTGTTGAAACATCGGCATGTGGTTAAACTGTGTAGGAGGAGGATTTAAAAACACAGATTCCGTCCTTGAATCATACACCTCATCACAACCACCACCACCTACTCCGCCGTCGCCACAGCCGCTAGATGATTGCAAGCTGCCACTGTTACCGGAATCCATGGCGTGAAAACTGATGAGATCAAATATGGAAGGAGGCTAAAGGCTATTAGATTGTCTCTCTCACTTTTATTTGTACATGAGAAAAGTAAGGCAAGTGCTTTTACCAGACTTAAAGTTGATTGAACCAGAGCAATGTACAGATTGTAATGCGTGTTATACAAGTACATACAGAACTGTGTGTTGCAGACATACGAAGTGTTTCATGTATACAAAATAAAAAAAAAGGTTCTTTTCATAATCTTTGTTGGGTGTATGGGATCTATGAGGAACCCAAAATGAAAAGCGGTAAACCATAATTTTAGGGCTACTCATTAAAATAATAAATATTGGTATATCATAATCATAAAATACGGTAAATATTGGAATATCATATCATAAAATAGATATAGGGATATTCATAAAATGACCGGTTGCTATTTTTTTAGTTATAAATACGACAAGTAAATTTAGAATAAATTATTTTGGACCCGATAAAAGAAGAATCTTACTCATTTATTTGGACCCGATTAAAAAAGAATTTTACTCGTTTACGTTGTAGTCCCCTATATAAAGGAAATTAGACATGTCGTACACACACACCCCGACACAGTGTTTTGGATTTTTTTTTTTTTTAAAAAATGACGATACAAAGTTAGTATAAAGGTTCATTTAAGTATACGGTGAATCAAGTTAGTTTTACGGTTTTAGTTCAACTATGAGTAAGTAGATGATTAAAACAAGAAAAATCTCCAGAAAAGTTCCAATATTTACGGAAAAGTTAAATTTTAATTCCAAAATTTTTTTTTTAAAAAAAAAATCCTGGAAACCGGTAAAAATTTGCAGTTTGACCCTTTTTGACCGGTTGAAACCGGTACCAAATTAATTTGTGACTATTTCGTAAACTAACCCAAAATATTGGGACTTTTCTGTAACCCAAAAATATTATGACTTTTCTGTAAAGAAAAATATTATGACTTTTCTGCAAACAAAACCCTTATTATTATTATTATTATTATTATTATTATTATTATTAAAAATATAAATAAGAATACTATTTTTTGAACTTGTATTATTAATATTTTAAATAAAACATATAAATGCATTTAAATGAAAAAAATAATAACATTGTTTAACGGTGGAGGTGGAGGAGATGGTGATGATTTTAGCATTGAAATCATATGAATTTTTGTTTTTATATTTTTACTTTGTATATGGTCATTTCACATTTGTTATTATTGTTTTCAATTCAGAATATTAATACTTAACAATTTAAAAGAAATTGCATATTTGTAAAATTGTTTATAAATAGTTTAAGGTAGAAGGATTTCTCAGTTTGCATATACAATTGTTTAAGGTAGAATGATTACTTTCCAAATCCAACAGATCCACTACAAACATCTATATAGATAGGTAACCCATATCAAACATCTATATAGATAGGTAGCCTACTACAAACATCTATATATAATATCTTGTTTAATTACAATATCTTGTTTAACAAAAAGTAAAATGATATTGTAATTAATACTTCTGAATTTTGATATGGGCTACCTATCTATGTAGATGTTTGTAGTGGATCTATTGGATTTGGAAAGTAATCATTCTACCTTAAACAATTTTATATACAAACTGAGAAATCCTTCCACCTTAAACTATTTATAAACAATTTTACAAATATGCAATTTCTTTTAAATTGTTAAGTATTAATATTCTGAATTGAAAATAATAATAACAATGTGAAATGACCATATACAAAGTAAAAATATACAAGGAGAAATTCATGTGATTTCAATGCTAAAAGCATCACCATCTCCTCCACCTCCACCGTTAAACAATGTTATTATTTTTTCATTTAAATGCATTTATATGTTTTATTAACAATATTAATAATACAAGTTCAAAAAATAGTATTCTTATTTATATTTTTAATAAAAATAATAAAAATAATAATAATAATAATAATAATAATAATAATAATAATAATAGTAATAATAATATAATAATAATAATAATAATAATAATAATAATAATAAGGGTTTTGTTTGCAGAAAAGTTCTAATATTTTTGTTTACAGAAAAGTCATAATATTTTTGGGTTACAGAAAAGTCCCAATATTTTGGGTTAGTTTACGAAATAGTCCCAAATTAATTTGGTACCGGTTTCAACCGGTCAAAAAGGGTCAAACTGCAAATTTTTGTCGGTTTTCAGGACTTTTTTGTTCAAAAAAAAATCTTGGGACTAAAGTGTCATTTTTTCGTAAATATTGAGATTTTTCTGGAGATTTCCCTTAAAACAATGTATGGAATGTTATACGTAGTTTCAAAAATCAATGAACTAGTTTGTAATGGCTTCAATTTGTGAGGATTAATAGGTCTTTGTATCATTATTGTCGTTTGGTTAATATCTTGTTTAATAAGGCCGACAACAATTTGTAGTCAGCTTAAAGAACCCCGAAAAACGAATTATAGTGTTTGAAATATAAATCGTAATCTGGAATCCTAAGAACAATTACGAAAATTATTGTTCTTTTATATTAAAATACTAGGCGTAACCTCGCCTGTTGCGCAAGAATGCATTTAAGTGGTTAAAATAATTATAGGGAAAAATAGAAATATGTTGAAATTTACGTTTTTAGTTCTGTTTTGGGCATTAACCGAATTATCAAATAACATAAAAATCTTTCAACTTATATTTTGATATTATATAATATAGTTCATACCTTATAAATTTTATTTTTACTTTTATAATATCCAATATATATTATAAGTTTTTGTATAACATTAATATAATCTACTTTTCTTATGTTCGATAATATTTTTTTGGATAAAATAAGAAATAATTTGTTTTGAATGAGCTATTAATAAACAATATTGAACTAATAAACTTTGTATTATACTATTTATATTACACCAAAACATCCAAGGTTTCATATATGAACTTTCAAAGATTAAACATTGAAATTAAGAATGAATTCATACAAAATATATCATTATACATAAATATCATCAAGAGTTTTAAAATAAGTCGATTAGTAAATATTATATTTGATTTTAATTACATATTTTGTAAGGCGTACGTTTGACTTTATGTTGGTGCGCCGATAATTTTCTTCCTTAATTTGTACCTAAAAAATTAAGGTGAATATGAATATAAAATAGATATTACTAAGCATTAATATAAATAATTAAAAATGGTATGTGGATCTCCTACCACCGGTTAAA